TTCGTAAACACCAAAATGCTGTTTCGCAGTGGTGTTTTTCCAAGAGCTTTGGTGTGTTCTCTCGAGTCTCCTCTTCATACAAATACTTAGACTTTTTTTTTAAAAAAAAAGACAATACAAACCCACTCGGCCCCTGCCTCGTCTCTGCTTCATCCATTCCCGATCCTCAAAAGGTCCCCCTGAAATGTACTTTGAACGGTCAGACAATGCAGGATGGGAGTACTGCGTGAGTGGGCATCTTATATTTCGTTATTTTCTTTCTTTTTTAACCTTGACGTAAATATGTACATAGCGACCAAATATTCACCGTCCGCCAAAGCATCGCTTATCTATCTCAAGGAACTACCCTCGAACCTGGCACGATAATCATGACGGGAACACCCAAGGGCGTTGGGTCGGTTAAAAAGCCCCCGTTGTACCTCAAGGATGGAGATAAAGTCATAGTTTGGGTAGGTGGTGGGGTGGGGAGTTTGGTTAATGATGTGAAGGAGGAGAGGAGGTGAAAAAGGTGGAATGTTAAAGTTTGTCGGCAATCTGTATATGTATTTCTGTATCATTTTCATCATACTCCTACGAGCGCAATCCAAATCCTACTTATTAAACAAGAATCCCCGCTTTATCTAGCTTGAAAACACGTACGAATGAGATTATGGTAACCAGGTCAAGAATATATCTACGAGCTCGGATAATGCACCACTCAGATCCATGCCCATGCTCCGCAAAGTCAAGGATGATGGTTCTTCGGGAAGTAATCCTGACGGCGTCTCGTCTGCGGAATTATCTGGCCCGGACGAAACTTCATCTTCATTCCTATGTTTTTGTTGATCAGCATTCTCAGCCGGAGGAGTCGTAACGGCGCTGGCGGACCTTGTATTAACGTTGGGGCACGGATCATCCATTTTCTGTTCTTCTGGATCAAGGAACATGTCCTTCACGGCATGCACTTGCTTCAAGTTTACATTACACATGGAATTGCGATACATTTCCCCCTCTTCTCTTTGCAGGTACAGTTACAATTGCAATGGTATACATTATAGTCCCCAGTCTCATAAATCGTATATAGTCCTACTCCTCAAAGTAGAAATCTTGTCCGAATCAACGGTTTGGGATATACTGCGAATCAAGCAAGAAAGACTAGGCAGCAAAGCACGGCTTTGGCTCGGTATATAATGGGTATAAGCATCCGACCCGTGCGTATGCATCTGTTGGATGAAATTGTGAATCGTGTTAGTATTCGCCTAGATGAACATTGGAGAAAGAGGGGATAAAGACGCACAGAAAAATGTCTGGGAACATTTGTGACGAAAGTAACCAGTACTTGAGGATACAGTCCTACTCTCAAAGTAGAAACCTTGTCTGAATCAACGAAAGTAACCATTACTTGAGGATACAGTCCTACTCTCAAAGTAGAAACCTTGTCCGAATCAACGAAAGTAACCAGCACTTGAGGATACAGGTCCTACTCTCAAAGTAGAAATCTTGTCCGAATCAACGGTTTGGGATATACTGCGAATCAAGCAGGAAAGACTAGGCAGCACAAAGCACGACTTTGGCTCGGTATATAATGGGTATAAGCGTCCGACCCATGCGTATGCATCTGCTGGACGAAATTGTGAATCATGTTAGTATTCACCTAGATGAAGATTGAAGAAAGAGGGGAAAAGACGCACAGAAACATGACTAGGAGCATTTGCGACGAAAGTAACCAGTACTTGAGGATATAGTCCTACTCTCAAAGTAGAAACCTTGTCCGAATCAACGGTTTGGAATATACTGCGAACCAAGCGGGAAGGACTAGGCAGCACAAAGCACGGCTTTGACTAAGTAAATGGTAGGTATAAACATCTGACCCATGCACCTGTTGGATGATATTGTGATTAGTATTCGCCTAGATGAAGATTGAAGAAAGAGGGGTAAAGACGCACAGAAACATGACTGGGAACACCTGCGACGAAAGTAACCAGTACTTGAGCAAATCCAGAATCCAGTCTGTTGTAGGGTAAACCGGATCAACGGTCATATCGAGAATGCATGTCAAGAACAGTGCATGTTGTGCATGTGACGCCTGCGTCGGTGGATGGTGATTCCCAAGTTGGGGCATTCGGTAAATCTGATGAGCAGAGTCCGAATCTGTTAAGCAGTACCTGTTCCTTGTGACGCAGTACTCGGTCTGGTAAGCAGTACCTAGAGCCTGTCCCGAGCAGAACCTAGTTTGTTGTCGACTAGAGCACAGTCCCTAAGAGTGACAGAGCACGTCGTTGCAAAAGTTCCCAAGTCGGCACAAATAAATAAGACCACTATGAAAGGCTCCGAAAAGATGTTAGCATCGAGCTAAAACTTTCAGTCAATGTACTTTCCTTTTTTCGATCCAAAATAAAGCACATTTTGCAGCTGATCCGAGTCTTCAACGTCCAGACGCCATTTACGACTTGAAAAGCTTGAACTTTGAGAACAATCCTTCCTTCTTGAACAAAGCCTTCTTCTCGACAAAGTCCCGAATCTCCTGTAAAGAAGCCCGCTGCGAGGGATCAACCGTCAAGACTCTGAATCGAAGGAAGTCCACGAGCTCGTCAGATGCATAACCAAGTTCACCACGAAGCATCGAAGAATCCATCGAGTACGCCAAGAAATCGGGGTCGGAGACAGGGCAGGCAATTCCCCATGGAAGTTTCTTTCCACTGCAGAGTAAAGCAAGCATCATCCCGATAGCCCAAATGTCCTGTTGTGCGGGAGAATAGCCTTGAGGGTTTTGCAATGCGAGCGAGACACATTCGGGAGGCATGTACCGTGGTGTGCCAGCGTAGTATCCATACGGAACGACAGTGTGCTTGGTGGCAAGTCCAAAGTCAGCAATCTTGAGACACAATTCCTTACCTTCAGTCGTGCACAAAACGTTCTCGTACTTGAGATCGCGGTGAAAGACACCGTTCTTGTGCGAGTGCATGACACCATCAATCACCTGCAGAAAAGCAGAACGAGCACGCTTCTCCTCGTCGAAAGTGCCCTCCTTAAGCGCATCGAGCATATCACCTCCTTCGCAGAGGTCCATACGGATACAAGCAAACTCCTCTCCTTTCAACGTCACATGCGACACCTCTTTCGCACGGAGGACGTTCTTGTGTCCAGCAGCTTCCATCTGCAACAACAACTCGTCCACCAACTGCATCTTCTGTACCGACTCACCTTTAGGTACAGATAGAACCTTTACGGCAAACTTTTCACCATCGTTCTCCTTTCCCCTCGCCACCCGCTCTGCAAGGTACACGGTGCCAAAGGCACCTGCACCGAGCAGCTTTTTCAACTCGAAGTGGCCGTCCATGATGAAGCAGCCCTCGAGAGATTTGATTTGAGAGTGTTGGTAAGACATCTCGAAAATGGTTGTAGAGTAGTGGTAGGTTTTAGCGTGCAAGTGATAATCACAGAGCAAGTTATGCTAGGGAAAGGAGTGTTTTGGACTCTTGGATTTTATAGCGTTGAGGACTTTGCGGAGGGCGGTGTCATAAAAAGGAGCACATTGTGTCTGGCTTGGTCGCGTAGAAAGGAGTAGTTGTAGAGGTAGGAGGGTCTTGGTGAGGGCGGTGTTGCTTTGAAAAGGAGTAGTTCGTTTTTGGGACAGCGCGTTGTGAACGGGTTTGCTGGACGCGTCTTTGGACTGCGCCAAGTTCCTAAGTAGGAGTAATGCTGAAGTGGTAACATGCTGATCTTCTTGCACGTACGCTGAATCGCGTAGGGAAAATGCTCTTGCACGTCAAGCCCAAGGTCGTTGTTAGTGATCGAAGAAATAGATTCAAAAGTGCCTATTGACCCTAGACCTAAAGCAGGTCCTTCTACAGACACTCAGTGGTTTAAATAGTCGCTTCGTTAGATGCTATGTTTTCAATGAATCGGCTGACTGTGGTCCTTCTAGAGATCATCGAAAGCGGTTCGCTGGGAAGCGTCTGCGCCAACTTGTCATTGCAAAGCACAACAGAGAGGTACGAGGCAAAATGCTGATTTAGGTTCCGCGATGAGCGAGACTCACCTCCAAACGCTGGATAATAGGCACTGCAAGTACCTCCACCAAACGAGTCTTCAGAGTAAGTGTATTCCATTATATCGGTGGAGAAAGGTTGCAAATAAACGCATGTTGGAAATATTGTATACATCTGAGTATGTATTGCTCTGAGTGGTGAGATTCAGATTACTATATAGCAAACAGGGAAGACACCAGGAAGACACCAGACCACACAACAATCTACCTCCTCCCTCCGACTGTACCGATATTATCCACAGGCGGAGCACCCCGCACAAGGGATTTTGAAGACGAATCGAGCAGGAAGGGAAGGTATTTCGGAAGAAGACCGCGTGTCGTTGCAGCAGGTGCCGACGTTGGAGTCGGTGCTGTCAAAGACTTGGACTCTGGTGCCAAATGCGTATCGCCAGACGCCGAAACCGACCCTCCCCGTATCGAAGACGCGACAGCTCTCGCAGCAGCTTCCATTGTGTGTTTTTCTTCTTCTACTGACAAGACACCTCGTGCGCTTTCCATCTGTCGCAGTTGGGACTCGTTTTGTTTGGCAAAAGCACGCGCCTTGGCTTCCTCGTCTATATCGTCGAATTCATCCTGTTTGACGGCGCGGATGGAGTAGGTGTATACACCGAGGACGAATGTGCTTAAAAGGACACCGGTTGCGATGTTTTTGAAGAGAAAGGGTTGGCGTGCGCGTTTGAGGCCTGGGGACATGGACTGTGTAATGCATTTGCGTTTGGAATTGGGTTGTGGATGTATGAGATGGGTGTTTTGAAGGTGCGGATTAATTGGTTAAAATCGGAAGGAAAGAAAGAAGAAACATACACCAGATTTAGGCCGCCATGATTTTGCGGCTTTGCGAGGGTCGACGTAACGTCCAGTGTCCCAGCCTTCCATTGGGAATGAGAAAGAGAGTCAAGCAAAGAAAAAGGTCGGTGACGCTGTCTTTCGGTGTATCAAGTAGCAATTGGACTCGAGGCAATTTTATGCCGGCTCAATGGTCTAGTAGTATGATTCTCCCTTCGGGCGGTGGTCCGGGCCGATAGGCCTTTATTGGGAGAGGTCTCGGGTTCAATTCCCGATTGAGCCCATGATGATAGCTTGCAGTTACTTTTTTTTTTGATTCCCTCAACGTCTTTCAAAGCCTCTAAACTTGATTTGATTCATGTTTTAAACCCTGCTTCAGCCTTGTATTGTCTCAGAGTCTTGTTGTTTTGTTTCAACCCCTATCAGAATTTGTAAAACGTGGGGTAGAAAACGGCTAGGGGTTATTTGCGCATGAACAGCAACCATGCTGGCCAACGACCCGACTAATCCCCGTCCCCGCCCTCCAGCCCAGGTAAGACGCTCGACGTCGGGCATGAAAAAGTCTTCCTCGTCCTCGTCCTCGTCGCCTCCACCACCCTACGCGTCGTCCTTGGCGTTCCCGAGGAGGTCCAGTACGTCCGCGACGTTGCTGGGCTCGCCCGTCTCTGCAACCGTGCAAATGGTAGACGGCGGCAGCCAGGAGATGGTCGAATGGCTCAACGAAAAGTCCAGGGAGGAGTTGTCCGAGTTGCTGCTCAAGGCGGATGGCGTTATTAAACAGCGGGAGAGCGGTAGGTGTATTCTATTCTCTCCTGTTCTTTTCTAACAATGATGAACAGAACTAGACCGCACTTCATCTCTATACAAAACACTCTACCAAGACAATACATCTCTACAGTCTAAACACAGGGCCTTGCTTTCTCGCATACCTCTCACTCCTACCCGTGTCCCTTCCCCGCTTCCTTCCCCAGCTTCTACGACTTCTTCCCTAGCAGATCCATTTCAATCTTTATATTCTCCATCCTCGCCTACCTCATCCTCGTCAACCAACCCTCTTTCCAAATTCTCTTCCTCTCCATCTCCGTCATACAATTCTAGCACCAGACGCCGTCCTCCATCTCACTACCGTAAAGTATCCGTTTCCTCTTCCGATATCTCTCTTTTGGCAGATCAAAATGCAGAGCTGCTCGCAAAGATTGAAAAATTGGAATCAGAAAACGCTTCCACGGATTTGGCCGGAAGAAAGATGCTGAGGAGGTTGGAGAGGGAGATTGGCGTGCTTAGAGAAGAGTTGGAGGGTGTCAGAGAGAGAGAAGTAAAAGAGGCAAAGGAAAAGGAAAAGGCAAAGCAGGTTGATTTGAATGCGAGTTCTGGACAGAGGATGAGAGGCGTCTCTGGTGGACGGATTCGAAGAGAGGACGACGAAGATGCGACTTGTCAAGTAAGGGATTTCGCTCCGGGTGGAGTTTTGTCCCAGTCGTCCTCGTCGTCGTCGGTTCCTGTATCGTCTTCAGTTTCCTTCCCTGCTCCTCTTGAAGGTATCCAGGACGAACACACACTTATAGCGCATCTCTTATCCAAAATGTCCGAACTCGAACAGACGAATGCGAGAATCCTCACTGAACAAGCAGAAACTGCGAAAAAGCTCGTCGAGGTTCAGAGGGAGCACGCTAGTCTCGGTAAAGTCTATGAAGGATTGGAAGCTGAAGAGGTCATCATCGAAGAGACGAGTTCTAATGAGGATGAACACGAGCATGAGGACAAGGACGACAGAGCCCCTGTCGCCGCTTCTGCTTCTACTATTACTGCCGCTGCAAATATCACTTTTATGCCCAAAAAACCAACTCCAACACCCCGCCCTTCAAGACAGAGATCCGACACCGCAGGCTCTGAAACTATCCGTTTCAGAAGTTTCCGAAGGTCACTCTTGGAATCAATGATGCCTATGGAGTTGGCGGAACTGAGGGCTCTAGGAACACCGGGTCTTCCATCTTCGTCATCCAAGACCGAGGTACAAAACAGCGCTGCTAGGAAATCGGTCTTTGGGCTGTTTGACCCGAAAGCTAACGTCACTGAAGAAGTTCCTCGCAATAGTCAAGCACCACCAACACAGACACCAACATCTCCAGCACTATCCTCGCTCTCTCTATCGATAAACACCTTGGGCTTGTCTAATACACCTGGCTACGCCTCTGCTTCTGTTCCAGGCTCCCAAGCTTCCTCTGTTCTATCCTCTCCAACTCATACGTCGTTCAACAACAAAGCCCTTCCTCTATCCAGCGAGATGGGCAGTTTTGGGTATGGCGGCTATGGCTGGGGCAACGAATCGGATTACAACTACTCCCCAAGTCATCATTTGCGAACGAGTTCATTATATGATTTGAGATTCGGACTTGGAGGAGCAAGTGAGCCTCCTAGTCCGAGTCCGAGTCCGAGCCCTGGACCGAGCAGGAGGGCGAGTTTGGAAGAAGAGAGTATCAGGGAGGAGGATGAGCATGAGGAGGGTTCTGCTAGATTGGCTACGCCGGAGAAATCTGGAGGCAAAGAGTTTAGGAAACCAGCGTTGACACTTGAACCTCCTACACCTGTCAAATTCCCTACTACCTCTAGTGATTCCGAAGATCCATCGTCTCCTCCTACTCGTACGACGCCACTGAAAGAGAAAGAGACTCCACAACAAAGATACCGCCGCATGTCTCAAACTGTGCGTATGCGTACTGCACGATGGGTCGATGGCAGGTTTGGAGATCGGGAAAGGTTGTTGGCGCCAGAGAGTCCGAGCCCGGGTCATAACCAACAACGAGACAGGGAAGAATCCGGTAGAGGGAGCCTCTCCAAAGCTAAAGCTATGGGCTCTGTCAGTGGCAAGGGTAAAGGCGGTAAAAGCAAGAGAATGTTGATGCCAGACTTTTTCGGCGACGATGAGGACGAGGTTTCGGCTTCTAAACCCGGACGTGCAGAAGACTCTGAAACGGAAGTAGAGAGTGAACCTACGCCTACACTTCGTCCTACGTCCTTGCAGATCCAGTTACCGTTGAGCCTACCTGTTTCATTGCCGATTCCGCAGAGTGTTCAGGGTGCGTTGGATACGATGGTTGATAGGTTTGCGAGAAGTGTTAGTGGGAGTGGGATTCCTGGGATTTCGGCTCCTGAAGGAAGAGCTAGATCTAGGCCTGCATCAAGAGCTGCGTCAGTTTCGAGTTTGGGGCGTAGTTCCAGGTCTGATTCTGATAGGGAGAAGGAGAAGGAACGATCCGTTATACCCCAATCTTCTTCGACCAAACTCGTCCAGTTGTACGTCGAACCCCGACGGTCGTCTGCTAAACCTACCAACTCTTCCTCTAAACCTGGTACCGAGATGGCAGATACGTCAAACTTGCAAGTTAAATCGCCTACTGCGTCTGGTGTAGGTGGAGTAATTCTAGAAGTCTGGCTCTGGCTTCAGTTTGCGATCATCATACTCGTCTTTTTGTGGGCAATGGCGAAGAGAGGGCCAAAGAGTGTGCTTGGGGAGGGTGTTTCTGGACATGGCAAGGCGAGGGCTTGATAAGTCTTAGAGTGAGCAAGGTCCTTTTCCTTTCTTCTCCTTTTCTTCATTACAGACTCGAATTTGACGTTTCCAAGACGTTCGTTTCACTCAAATCCACCATTTACACTTATTTATCTCGACTCATGCTCGCATTCATCCCCTTTTCTCACAAAGCATTGAATAATGACATTCACACTTCAATTCACCATTTGATGATCACTGTACATGCCTTCAACTTGCGCGCATATTCTTTCTTTCTTTTCTTTCTTTCCTCACGACCATTTTGATGTATCTACTACTACCCAGCAAGCTACGACCTTTTGCACGTTCTTTTTTCGTTTGTTCATACTTACTTAGATGATTGCACTTTTACTCTACTATGTTGACTATACTTCGTAGTATTACCTACACTACTACCAGTATCACTATTTACGAGTTGGCTAGCTATAAACTACAGTAGAGCAATGTATACCAGTAGAGTTTCCTGAATTAAGAGAACCCAATTTGACTGCAGTAAGTGCGGATCGACACCGGGCCGGCCTTGGACGCGACTTGTCTAAAATCACTGCACCAATGCCTCCGAATCGACTGCAGGCATCTAAAGATCTTTTTTTTTTTAGAAATTTTACAAGGTGCGTATGCGTGTATTTCTTTAGGCATTTAACTCTGCCAGTCCTGCCTTTATTGTAGATGTTTTTGACAGGTTTGCCCAGTCACCTTGTGGACACCATGCAGACGGTTCATACAGACAGCCTTGGACATGTGAACCGTCGGTTGGGATTGTGTTGGCGGATGTAATTTAACCCTCCCTTTCCCTTTCCCCGTTTCATTTCGAGAGTCGGAGAATGACTTCCCCTGAAAACAAGGCATCCAGGATCCAGGTTTAATCAAAGGAACGAGATGAAGTCAGAGACATGAGTGCATCTACAGGCCCGCCCCATTGGAGCCCAAAGCTGACTTTTTTACAGTTGGCCAGTGCCTGCGGCACGCATCAACATTTTCGCCATTCTGATGAACCCAGGTTCGCTCAACAGCAGACTGGGATGTGATCAACAGAAGTACCAAGTTTAACGGACCAACTCCGCTTAATTGACAGGTTTTGGTGTCGTTCACTTTTTGTTGTTGCAGGAGAGACGGTACAAGAGTTATTTTCATAATCAAAAGTTTAATTACTATACATGATGCCTAATCAAGTCCCCAATACGACAACCATTTATCCAGATTTTCCTGTCCCAGCTGAGGCAAGTTGGGATCAGCCAGGGTCTTGGACAGCGCCTTTGCCCTCTCGTTTTCAATCTCGGGAATACCAAAGGCCTCCATTCCAGGCTCGCCTGCAACGGAAGCCATAGACTGATACGAAGGCAGTATCCTCAACGCAGAGATCTTCTTCTCGGCGTCCTGTTCTATCCTTCCAACGTGTTCAAGTCTTTCTAGCCATTGTGCGAATGGGACAACATCAACCTTGAGCCGTGATGCGATGATACGAGCAAGGGTCGACCATCGAATAGGTCGTGGGTGAATCAAGTGCACGAAAACTGATTTGTCACGAGTTTCGACTTCGGGAACATCTAAAAAGTCTCGAATTGCGCAAGCTACGACGTCGGCAGGGATCCACGACATCAACTACAAAAGTTTGTCAGAAAATGAAGGAAATTGCAAAATTCGACTCACTCTATTATCATCAGGAATACATCCCAGGATTGGAGCACTATTCACTATTGCGGGAAGCCACTCTTTGCTGTTCCAAGATCCGT